CCCCCCCCCGTGTTGAAATCATCCTCGTCACTCATCTCTCTTCTCATCTCAATTCCTGCCTTTCAATCCGTGCCGCACAACGCCTCCCCGGTTTTGGATGCCATTGCCCCACCTGCATTTCTTTTCCATGGGATCCGATGTTTGTCTATTCACCTTCCTCACTCTGCCATCCCATGGCTTCTACTAGCGCTGCGTTGAGCTGTGGACAAGAAATTGCACCTACGCACTTCGTTTTGGGCCCTTCTGCTGCCTTTGTCGCGGTGCAATTTTGAAGTGCTTTGCCTGTGCAACTCGAGACCACTTCTTGTGGTTTATACTTGGGGAGCATTCTGACGCTTTCAAATTAGACTTCCTTCAAAGGTTTTGCACTTCCTCTTTTAAACCTTGAAAGTAATCGTTAAGAAATACATATATGAATAAAAAGACTGACTGCATTAGATAATACCATTCTCTGCCTTCTAGGATCTCTATATCGTGGGAAACATTATATGTTGAACAGTGCATTTTATACTTTAGAAATTTCCCAATAAAAGTCAAGATTTAAGAGTGTAGATAGGGCAAGGCTGTGAAGAAGGGAAGGCATGGCGGGCGTGGAGCAGATGAAGAAGAAGCTCTTGCCACTCTTGAACATGGATTCAAATCTCGCGCCGGGAATGTCCATTGACGCATCTGCTTCGTACAAGGTTGGTGGATCACTATCTATCTTCGTATAACATTCTATGCCTTAAGATTCGAGCTCAGTATTTTGGCGTGGAAGTTCCAAATGGCAGCACTTGTCATATATTTCTTCACCAAATAGATTTTGTAAAAGAGAAGATGGTCAGATTGCGGGGTGTCTCTCTTCTTCTGTTTTTAATTTTTGCTGTCTAGACTACCTATGTTTTGGGGATGAGCTGAGCCTTCACAGAGAACTACGAAGTAAAAGCGGCTTCGAGCAGTTCCTGCTACGAAAAATCGGTCAAAGAATGAGGCTGCCTCTTGTCATTCTCCAGAATTTATTGGCTTTGTGGTAGGAAGAGGTCACGGCCGTTATACATTGTCTTAGGATTCCGATTGAACTACGTTACTTCGTAGACAACCGTGTGGATTTTGTGCGTGTTTTGAATCAAGGGATGCTTTCCTGGTTGAAGTAGCCTGAGTATCGGCAACAGCAATCTGTTGATCTCGCATTTGATAGCATGACCTAAAATGGTTGTGAAGAATTCTCTTTGCATCGCCTTCCTGTCGCAAGTCTGTCAAAGGGAGTGAAATTAGGCTCTTTGTGGATTACCTCACATACGTGCACAATCTAGGAATTTAAAAAGTCGTGAGTTTGAGTTATCTGTGTTTGCAAGGTCGATGTTGTTCTCGTTGTTAAGAGAAATGAAAGCGTCTTGTTTTACAACGTTCTTTTTCATGGCAACTCCAAACTCACACCATGTTATTAGATAATCTCTAGTAGATATTCTCGCCTTAGGTTTTGTGTCGTGGTAAGATTTGAGTGCTCTTCTTCTGGAAAAGTGGTTGTCTTTATTCACATTGAGCATCTCCCTTAAAAGCGTCCCTTCTCCCTGTGCTTGACTTATGGTTATTCTAATTTTTAGACGAAATTCGGAAATTTCCTGTTTCAACTGTACAAATCAATTATCTGAATCCTTAATGATGTAGGTCTTACACAGTTTTTTGTATAGAAGGGTGCTGTTTTTCGGTACGAATTATGTGCCCTTCTAGCAAATATTAAAAGATTGTTGGACCCCTCATCGGATTTTGGCCTCTGCTTAAGGACCACAGCTCCAAGCACTTTTCCACAAAGTTATATTTGAGTAGTCGCGCATGCGAAAAAGATTACTGCATTTTGTTTGTATCACAGTTTTTTCTACTCTAGTTTCGTGACTTAATCAATGTCTAGGGGTTAGCAAGAGGAAAGGTGTACTAGTTTCGTTCTCATTTTGATTTTCATCTTAAAATTTATAATCATCTGCATGCTATTGATTTAAGCATGGTTTGTGCGGTATATTTTTTAGAATACTCTGGCCATGATTGAGAAAATTGTTCACTTATCTCGGTTTTCTGGTGCTGTGAAGGTGACAGATGGGGGCTCATTGAATCTCCTTAGCAGGTCATGTGCTGAGTATAACATCAATGAGCTTGGACTACAGAAACGAAAGTCATCAGCACCAGATGCTGCTGGGGATGCTGGGGATCAAGAGAAGACATATCAGTGTGCATCTAGTGAGATGTGTGTTTTTGGAGCTATTGGTTGGGGAGCTAGCAGTGTGGTCCGCAAGGCCATCCACATTCCAACCCATCGTATTCTGGCTTTGAAGAAGATCAATGTCTTTGAGAAGGCAAGAAAGTTGTCAAATTAACATTGCTTCTGCATCTCTTCGAGCTCTGTCCCATCGTTTCCATAGTTGTAATGTGCGTCTTTATTACTCTTTGTCCAAGTGTTCCTTCAACAGATATAAACTTTAGAGTATCATATAAATTCTTGCTTTTGTACTTACCGGCATCTGGCACAATTTATTCTTCTGACATTTTTGTACCAAAAGATCTCACTTTACCACTGTAAAAGTGATCTATTGCAAAGTTTCATCATTCCTACCATTGTCCTCTTTCAGGAGAAGAGACAACAGTTGTTGAACGAGATTAGAACACTTTGCGAGGCACCGCGAGTAAGGGGTTTGGTAGAGTTCTATGGAGCATTTTATTCACCAGATAGTGGACAAATCAGCATTGCCCTTGAGTATATGGATGGTGGCTCCCTTGCTGATATTGTGCGCACGAAGAAGTTTATACCTGAACCGATCCTCTCTGTTATTACTCGCAAAGTATTGCAGGTAAGTGTTGTTATGGTTAAGTATGCTGCCTTGTGAGTTGCAGTCTCCTGAAAGTTCGTAAAGCGAAATATCTAGTATAGATCGCATAATGAGTCCTTTATTGGGTCAAGTTCTTGACGAAGCTCTTTTCGACATGCATTTGCATGAAGGCCATTGATGGAAGCGGCAAATCTTGTGGATAATTTAAATGCAATGTTGGACTCGTGAAAGATCGTTTTAAATTATCCACTAGGTCTTATTGCGTCCGCCCAAGGTTTTATGAACATGAAATGGTTTATAAAACATCTGTCGGGTTCTATTTTGTTCCAGCAGCAGGCAAACGTATTTAGTCATTAACATGCTCTCTTCTTTTGTTGCACCATCATCAGGGTTTAGTATTCCTACACAACGTGAGGCACTTAGTACACCGGGACATTAAACCAGCTAACCTGTTGATTAACCTTAATGGAGAGCCTAAGATTACAGATTTTGGAATCAGCTCGGGCCTCGACAATTCTATTGCAATGGTAAATATTTTTTTGTGATGTAGTCCTGTCCGGCGCTTAAATAAACTTTCCGAGCTGATAGGATCTGGTTTCCTTCCTTTGATGTCTTCTCTTATCATTTTGAGAGCACCTGAACTCTGTCGAATGTCGGATTTTGATAATACATAGTAGCTCCGTCATATTAGCATTGGTCGCAGGTTATTCGGTAACTTGGTGACCGCAGTATGAAGGTGATATTTTGGTATGTTTCTCCTGCAGTGTGCCACTTTTGTAGGCACGGTGACGTACATGTCTCCTGAAAGGATCAACAACGAGTGTTATTCATATCCAGCGGACATATGGAGTCTTGGACTAGCATTGCTAGAGTGCGGAACTGGTGAATTTCCATACAGTGCAAACAAAGGGCCAGTCAATCTGATGCTTCAAGTAGGGAATCTTGAATCCTCTCATTATGCCACGGTGATACAATGAGAATTTTATTTGGCTATATCTGATATGTTTTACCAAGTAGGATAGGACTTCGGGTGGGGACAGTGGAGGAATTTTGTCTGTATGGCTCAGGGACTTGTGGACTAGTACTTACATGTAGAGGTGTATGTAGGGATTGGGGTAAGCATCCCATTTTCGTACTTCTCGGCTGTTACAATATTTCTTCATCATTTCTTATTTAAAGCCTATGTGAGGGCTTCACAAGTTGTAAAATTGCTTTACTTATCGAGAGTACATATGCTGTGCAGGTTATGTACGATCCATCACCGTCACCTCCTGCTGAACGTTTTACTCGGGAGTTTCGGTCCTTTGTGGATGCCTGTCTTCAGAAGGAGGCAGAGGCCCGTCCAACAGCGGAACAGGTCCGTTTGCTGGCTGGTTTTTCAAAAATTTGATATTCTATTGCTATGCTAGCAGTTATCTCGTGTATGCTAGATTTTCTTTGTGATCTATACCTGCTCATAATCTAAATGCACAATCTTTTATTTGTTCTGCCTGATTCTCTGACGAATGGCATTCCATGAACATTATAAGGTTTGTAATGGAGAGTATGCTTCCAGATTTCTACATTGAATCCAACCATCAGTTTGTTTGAAGGATTCAATGTTTTCATCTGACACGATCATTTGTTATTCGTATCCCTGAACATGTTTGTAGACATATACTATTGAAAGTATAACCTTCCGTCATTTTTACATGCAGTTAATGTCTTATCCTTTTATAAAGAAGTACGAGGATCAGCAAATAGATCTGGCGGGATTTGTGCAAAGCGTTTTCGATCCAACTGAGCGACTTAAGGATTTATCAGACGTATGTATTTAGTGATATTTGGTGGTGTGAGAGTTTTGAATATTGGTTTCAAAGACTTGTTCTCTAAATTTCTCACTTATTTTTTGTCTTTGGTTTGATAACCAATTTCTCACTTCCGAATCAAACTTGATTCTGCAACAGATGCTTACAGTACACTATTACATGTTGTTTGATGGTCCTGAAATGCGGTGGCCTCATATGAAGGGTCTCTATTCTTCAAATTCCACTCTTTCGTAAGTGATTGATGCTCATTTTACGACACTAAGCAAGTTAGAGTTGAACAGAGCATATCCAACTCAACTGGACTTCTTGAAATGACTTATTCAGAAGCATAGATCGTCGCATGTTCAGCAGCACTCTAGAGCCGTGATTTTATTGAAAATCCTCGTGTACATTTCTTACTGTCAAAAGATATGTACTTATCTCTGTTCGATGATACAATCGAGGTTTAGTGTGTAACCAATCTTGGGAGTTTTGCGTATTTTAGCCCGGGTTGAAGGAGATTTTGCAATATTTCATTCTGTATTTATATGGATACAAACTGTTGAGACAAAGTCGTATGTACTAAACATTCTGTCTTTGAAGGAGGAGTACGATTATGAAGTGGTACTACGTGTCAATTGGTTATTTTTGTTTCCTGGTTTTGGCACATGTTGAGGTTCTAATTTTCTGGTTCCACCTGGTGTAGGTTTGGCAATCAAATTGTGACTGGGGCTGAGGAGATATTCACGACTTTGACCAACATCAGGAATATGTTGGCCGGTGAACGTGCTGAAGAGAGACTAGTGCATGTGGTCGAAAACTTGCAGTGCTGTGCATTTGCAAAACGTGGTGTGATGATTCGTGTCTCAGGAACTTTTGTGGTCGGAACTCACTTTGTGCCAACAGGTTTGCAGTGGCCACCCTCGTGTTCATTATTTACACTTTGTCTTTTGGAGATTTTCATTTACTTGGGAAAGCAAATCACCATCTTCAAGCTTAAGTGAATGCAAAGGAATTGACGTCATTGGCGTCAGTTAGAGAAGCTAGAAGCTATGCAGGAAGTTCCGAGTAGTTGGCTTATGTGATTCTGATACAAGCGCTTGGATTACGCAGGTGATGGTGTCCAAGTGGAGGGTGTGCCGAGCAGTTCGTGTATGGATGTTGAGAAGCGGCGAATTGGTACTTTCAATGAACAATTTTGCATGGAACCAGGGGAGCACATAGGGTCGTTTTACATACTAAAGCAAGAGCTTCACATTCAGCAGTAGGAGATGGACGTCTTCTCATTGCTGGTTTCATCCACTTGCGTGAGGCTCAAGCATGGGCATTGCATCTGTGCTGACCGCCATCTCACACGGAAGGGAAACAGTTTCCGATGTTGGTGTGTAGGGTCCATCTTTAAATTCTGAGGTCCCACTGATGGTAGCCAGAATGGATGAGCCTTACGCTGGGTGCGAAGCATCAGCTGGAAGAACTCGTGTATGAGAGAGGATCTTTGTAAAGAGATGACGTAGGGATGTTGGAGGTCGAAAAGAAGCTCGACTTGCCCATCTTTGGAGGGGTTTCCATCGGCTACTCTTGGCACTAAACCTTGATGTACTATGAGTCCTCCCTTCCATTTTTCTATAGTACTGTAGAGCAACAGGGAACAGAAAATGGGAGGTAGTCTTGTTATTGAGGAGATTTAAGTTGTAGATTAGGTACAGATGTGCAGATCTTTGCTGGGGCTGTTGGAGTTGAAGCTCATTTTCCCACATTCCCCTATCCGGGATGTTGATACAAATTCTCTTTAAGCTCGGCTAGACATTTTTGTTACTGTGAGGGGAGTTATTAGCCACTGATGTTGCTATGTCAAATTGTCGTACACGTGTCTTTCTTTGCAGTCTTTATTTTCACCTTGCTCTTACTGCAGATGATTGTAAATGACGCCTTGCATAATAGAGAAATAATCTACTTGGTGTAGGAGCCGCTTACGTCATAAACTAGATCTTGCTTCTAAACACGCCATGCGTTGCATGTAGCTTCAAGCATCATTCGACTTTTCCACGACTGCTGTGCTTTTCCCATCAGAAGCATGGAATACTTCCAACGTCTGTTTTGTCCCTTCTAATTGAACTTGCTCCTCCTTTACGCTTCTCCACAATTCCTTGCTAGAATTTTCATTCCAACTGCCATAACTGTGGAAATGTGAATTTGTACCATGGAACAAACATTAATTCACTAATGTATTATAGAACTCACTTTTTGTCCATATCTTGATACAAATAGTAGCTTCAATTCATATGTTCAAAAGAGAAGATGGGTAAGTGAAATTTTGGATTTTGTTTGGTTTGTTTTTAATATAATAATGGGAATTGCTAGATAGAAACCTCCCATTTTTTGCATTTACATTCCTCTTTTATTTTATCGTGTGGATACCTCTTTTTACTACATAGACACTTCCATGATTTATACCCTACATACATACAATAATTTAATTCTTACTTGAATATTTCTTGATTCAAGTAAACCTGATACTATTGAGAAGAATTGTGAACATAAATAAAAAAATAAATTTATGTGTCGTATTTGTGTATAGATGATTGATATCAATATTCTATGTCGGAGAAATAAACTAAAAAACTATACAATTAATTTGTGCAAATGATTAGAAATATAATAGTATTTGTTTTTTTTTTGTTTTGTTTTGTTTTTTTTTTTTTTTGATAAATTAAGAGAACTACACTAGTGTTTATGTAATAAAAAAGAGGTGTTTACTTAGCAATTTCCATAAAAGTTATCTCAATATATTTTAGATGTCATTTTTAGTATTTGGTAACAATCTATAAAAACATTCAAAGATTTATCATACTTCAAAGAAAAAATATTAAAAAATGACTTTATTGAATGATATTAATATTTGTATGATTTTTTTTAAAAAAAGTTCAACAAAAAAAATTCTTGTTATTAATTCAATAATTAATAACATTTTGAATTAAAAATTAAAAAATTGACATTTTTAATGTAAATTTCATAAATTATAAGATGATTTTTTAATTTGACAATATAAGTATCATGGATTCAACAATTGATATGATATTGTTTTAAATTCTGATTCTTAAAATTAAATAAGAGGTCATAACTTTATAATCTTTTGTAATTATTTGTGCTTTAAAACCAATTTAAAACTAATTAGAGTGTTTTACCATTTATGCCATTAGTTTATGGGATTTATTCAATAATTTTTTAAACATACAAATTAGTGTACACTTTATTATTTTAATTTTTATAATCAAATTAAAACAAATTATCTTATTAAATAAACTTAATGTGTGAAGCCTTCTTTACTCTAACTATGAAAAACATTAGGTTTATTGGAGTATTACTTTTGAATTTTTCTTTATTATAATTTTTATCTTTTTTTGAATAACGTGATCCAATATTGGATAATTTGGAAGCTTTTTGGCAAAGTTAGATCCATGTATAGGAAACGTGATGCAATTCATATTGCAACCAACAAGATTTATATTTTTCAATAAGACAATTGATTAGTAATATTTTGTACTTCACAATTTTGGCAACTTGCAATTGAAATCAAGTGTGATAATATTGCATTTTTTAGCCAATTTTTTTGTGGTTTAAAATATTAAAAAAAAAAGTGATGCTCAACTTACTTAATCTTTAGATATTAAGTCAAGCAAAAAATTTTGTTGTAAGGTATAACAATTAGCTTTTTGGATTTCAATGTGAAAATCATACAAGTAGGCCTTAGCATTTTTACAATTCAATGGCAAGAACAATGTTTTTTCAACACATACATTTGCAAGTGGAAGGTATGCAAATTGATGCAATTTGTTTTCAACCTCTTATTGAGTAAAAAATACTTATTATTGTCAAGAAGGATTATGCTTATATTATAGAGAATCTAAATATATTGCTCAACATTGTCTTAAGAAGTAATGCAACTATAAAATAAAGAGTATGGTTATTAAAGAAGAAAATATATTAAAAAAATAAGTTTTTCCAACTATAATAAGAAACAAGTGGTTGGAATCTTATACAACATCTAATGAAGGTCAAAACCTTCTCTTTGTTTTACAATAGATGTTTTTTTGGACCTAAAAATTACAAAGCCTTTGCCTTGTTAGATTTAGGAGCTTCAACTTGTTTTTTAGATGGAAAATTTGTTAAAAGACATAGCATATTTTTAATAAAAAAACTAAATTGGTATATATAGAAATCATAGATGGTAGTCTATTCTCTTTTAGAGATATTATTTATAAAATCCTTCTTATAGAAATAAAAACCTATGGTTGTAATAACATTGTGATATTTAGTACAATTAGATATATTATTAATCTATTCATTTTAGATTTATAACTAAGAAAATATAATCATCAAATAAATTTTATTTTTTAAAGTTTTAAATTTTTCCAAAAAAAAATTAAAAGTCTTGTTAATGAAATAATTTTTTTAAAATCTTATATAACAAAACTGTTACTTATAGGTACAAAAACTCTCTTGCATGTTGTAAAAAAAGAACCTTCTTTTGTTATTTATGCCACATCTATTCTAATGGCAAGGAGACTTCAATTATTAATTTAAGCTAGTATCAAGATTATTTAGACATTTTTTAAAAAAAGAATGACAATAATTTTTTGAATTGTTATCTTTACAATTACTCAATTAATCTTTAAAAGAGAGCTCAATTGCTATTTGGACCAGGTTTGTAAAGACAAACTTAAATGGAATAATGAAGCTGAAATAACATTTGAAGTTATAAAGACAACTTTGTTTTGCACCAATCTTATATTATGTTGATTTTTCTAAGGTATTTTTTTATGAAAACTAGTGCATCAAATTTTGTCTTGAGTGCCATATTTTCACAAATAAAAATAAATAACAAATTTCATCCTATTACTTTTCATTCTAGAAATTTTTTAATAGAAAAATAAACTATATGATTTATAATAAAGAGCTTCTTGTAATTATTAATTCATATTAAAAATAGATCTATTATATAAAAGATACTTCAAATTTGATTATTGTTTATATAAATCACAAGAACCTCAATTATTTTATATCAATACATATTTTAGATTGTTGCTAAGCCTATAAGAATGTGTCTTTGCTAAGTTTTAAATTCAAGATCATATATTGGCTTGAATATATATGTATATTAAATTTTTTTAGACATTCTAATCATATACTAAGAGAAAAAGAAAAATTTAACTTTTTTATATCAACAACAAATTATTCTTTTGAAGGCAAAAAAATTTTATTTTCAAATAATGAAATCAATATTAACAATTGATTCAATTTTTTTTAAGTTCAAATAAACATGTCATTAAATCCTCTTGTTCATGGCATTAAGAATAATCGTTTTAAATTTTATGATACATCAAAGTTAGAATTCAAAAATAATCTAATCTTTTTTGAAAGATTCTTATATGTTTGAAAAGGTGAAACACAATTACATGCTTTTTAAGCTTATCACAACTTTCCAAGTACATGATGTTTTGGATATAATAAGACCATGGAATTAATCTCAAGAGATTTTTGATGGCTTTAAATACAAAAGATAATTCAAGACTTTATACAATTATGTTAGGGACATAATCCTTAGAATCTTTTAGAGACAAGTTTCTAGAATCTTCTAGAAGCAAGTCTCTGGAACCTTCTAGAAGCTTCTTAGTTAGTAGAAGATATTAGGGACATAGTCCTTAGAACCTTCTAGAGATAAGTTTCTAGAACCTTCTAGAAGCAAGTCTCTGGAACCTTCTAGAAGCTTCCTAGTTGGTAGAAGTTGCTTGAGAAGCTTCTTAAATAAAAGTATATATTGGGATTGAGACTGAAGAGTTCTTCAGTCTCGACAACACATCTCTTGGAGCTCTAGCTCACTTCTATGGTGTTGTTCTCATCTGATTAATCTAGTTCTTGCCAGTTCTTCTTGAACTTCTTGTTAGATCTCGAGTCTGTATTTCTGTGTCTTTGATAGTTTGTCGAGACTGCACTCACCTCAGATATCAGAGCTAGTTTCTTCTTTATTAGAGTGCGGATTATCCCTCTGCTTGGAAGTGTACTAGCATTTTAGAGGTTGCGGATTACCCTCCTCTAAACTGATACTTCTTCTGTTACAATATTGGAGTCTTATTCTTCTTGGAGAAAGTGGATTACCCCTTTTTTTTGAAGCTCTTAAGGCATTTTAGAGGTTACGGAGTACCTTCCTCTAAACCAATATTGTCTTCTTGTAGAGTCATTTCTGTCCTTCTCTTAGAATGGCCGGGGGCTAAGACATTAGTATGACAGAAAGTTCGGAGTCCAAGTTAGATGCTATCATGAATGCCCTCGCTATGTTATCGCAAAGAACTGCAGAGATTGAAGGAGTCGTGGCAAGGCTTCATAATGATGGAGCATCTGGGATGGCACAATCTAGGTTGCACCAGCCTCAAACTTTTGCACTTGGAGAAGCAATTTTGCCTCAGGTTCGACAAGCACCGCTGGTTCTACAACATAAGGAGCCCCGAGTTAGCCTTCCGGACAAGTTTGATGGTACGCATTCCAAGTTTCGAGGATTCGTCAACCAAATCAGGTTGATAACAATTTTATAGCCCGAACACTATCCAACGGAGGAGTCACGTGTTGGGCTTGTTGGAACCTTACTTACATGATAAGTTCTATCATGGTTTCCTCCTTTGTTTGAGAAACGATCGTCCATACTAAACAACTTTGAAATCTTTTTGGAGGCGTTTGTAGAAGCATTTGGTGAACATGACAAGGTTCGATGGGCTACAACAAAGATCCAGTCACTACGACAAGGGATGCTCTCTACATCAGTCTATGCATCAAACTTTAGGCAATTAGCATGCAACATCAATTGGGACAAAGAAGCGTTGATGAGTCAATTCTATTAGGGTTTAAGAGACGATGTGAAAGATTTGTTGTTAACTCTTCCTGATCCACAAATGCTGAACGAAGCTATT